TTAGACAGTGTCATAGATGCAATGAACATGAAATTGAGCAAACTTCAGAGGACGGCGGAAGACCGGAAGGCCTGGCGGGAGCTGGTCCATGGGGTTGCGAAGAGTCGGACTCAACTGTGCGACTGAACAACAACAACTTTCAAAGCATTGTAAGGAGAGAAGAGTAAGGAACACACACAAAAGCAGGGCAAGAGGTTTGCACACATGCAGGCTGAATATATACTTTAAGCAACCATCAAGGATAAGGAAAAAACTATATTCTCTGAATAAGCATAGTTTTGGGTACCTGACAAAAGAAGCTTTGACTCTCAAAACCTTATACCAGGAGATCTTGTTGGTCTTTAAGGTGCTCTGAATAAACTTCCTGTAATATTGTTAGCTGAACAACAAAACAAATGCTGTACTGATTCCACTGTCGAATTAGGATAGGACTCATCACCCTGAACACCCACCAAAACTGAAGGAAGACAGAATATACATAGAGTGGCATGGTTGAGAAGCACTACCATGAATTTTCACATTGGGTTTACAAATAATTGTAATAAATAATAAACTGTGTTGAATTCAATCCTACTTCTCTACTTCCAGTGTCAGGCTCTATAGAAAGCTTCAACAGAAGCCAGGTGTGCCCAGTGCTGACAAACCCTGCTCTTCTTCCCACATACCCAGAAACACTGCACACCACAGGTCACTGACTCAATGAAGCTGAAGCATTGCAGCCATGTGTAAGGGGCAGCCATGCAAATTTAGAATTAGATGCGTTATTATAATGACTAAGCCTAAGAACCCTGAGTTTGATCTACTTGAATGTGCATCTTTACCTAAATTGCAAAATCAGGATCACATGGTGGGAGGCAAGGGAACCTACTGTGACCTTTGCTATGGTGTAACACCTGTCTTCACCCTTACTTAAGCCATATAATATACAGGTCACTTTCTGTGAAAGCAATGAAACTTAAAAAACAAAAGCATTTTGTGGCACCAATGGAACTTAATGTCAAATAACTGTATTTAGGTGGTTTCACATGCTAGTCTCATTTTGATCCCAAACATAGCTGTGGTGTATTGAACTCCATCCTAAACAATCCCTGTAGTATTGGCACAACATTCAAGTTCTGAATACTGCTCTACACCAGCAGCTAATGTATCTGTTTTTATGCATTAATAGTAATGAACTGTAACACATCTTAAAACAAATATTCTGTGTTGATCACGCTTAAAAACACCTAGATACTGTTAACAGAACACTTTCATCAGGATAAGGAGAGCAATACAAAGTCATGTCTCTTTCCAGTTTAACAGAATAACAGGTACTTAGCTGAGTTAAGCCAGAATGTTTCCTATTATAAAAAGTATACAATGATCTGAAACCTAATTAGGTGTCTGGTGGCTATAGTTATAACTTGAATAAACATGCCTAAATTATTAATAAACAGATTAATTAAGGCAAAGTACATATCAAAATAACAAAAACATTTTATTATATACAGTAACCATAAGCTCTGTCTTCTAACAAAGCATATTACAGGCAGAATTATCCAGGAATAATATCCCATAATTATTTTTCCTGCATCGTTAGTATGTATCTTCTGATGTATATACTTTACATCTTAGTTATATAACTATGTTGGCACAGTTGGGTGGGGGGTCTTATATTGGATCTATATAGATCCAGACCCAAAAATGTGTTCTAAGGCATAAACCTGATATGGATTGACTATCAGTATTCTACCACAAAGGTCCAATTATGTTTGGTTGCAACAGTGCAGTAAAAGCCAAAAAGAACACAGAGTATTTCTAACAGTAGCCTGTAATGAATGGATCATGAATGTTTTATAATTGTGTTCAATATATCTCAATAAGTTTATTTGAAAAGGAAAAAAAACAAGACCTTTATTAAATGTACATTTTTGTGTACAAAATCCATCCCAACATCTATTATTTCTTACCTCATAAGACCAAACGCACTGAGTTCCACCAAACCGCCGAACACATCGGCCCACTTCTACATCCTCATGAGTAGTGTACATTTCTCGAAGACATTCACCTATGTGTGGTACCATCCTCCTAAGAACTTCACGACTGAAGATCATCCCAGGTCCTCCCATGCAGAAATTCTCTCCTGGCTCAAGAGCCAATTTTCCAAGTTCTTCAATATTTCCCAGTCCTGTCTGCCCCAAATAGAGAGGCTTACTGCTGTTCAGTGACCTTAGGAATTCCTCTAATTTTTCCCCTAAAAGAAAAAGAGTTTATCATTAATACCATACCATGTACATTTTGTTTTTCCACAGTACAACTACAATTCAAACTATAATTCTACAAATCACTTTCTCCAATACAGCCAATACTTCTCTATGCTCCAACAAACAGCAAAAAAAAAAAAAAAATGCAAAGGGATATAGAGAGGCTCATAAGCCTTGGAATCTTTCCTGGACATTAATCTATTACAGGGCCAGAGTTCCCTATAAAGTGAACAAATGTCAATTAGTGGATATGCCCATCTTTTAACCTCATTCACTTGGAATTAAATTCCATTGATTTCAGTGGAATTTACTTTGAGGACAGTATGCTGCATTTTAATTAACACTTGCATTTTTCCAAACTGAGGCTTATAACAATGAAACATGCAAAGAAATTAAACTACACTTGCATATTTATCTCCAAGAAGATGCTATTGTAATCAATAAAATTTAATTCTAAATGAAGGACTTTAAAAATGGGACATGTTAAATTTAAAAAGAAGATAAACATTATATTGGGGAATTAACTTTTATATACTTTTTGATTCTGTTCAAGACCTGTGCACACACAGTGGTGCATTGCAGAACACTATTTTTAACATTCAGGATGTTTAAATCTGGATGGTAAAGACAGGCAGCAATTTAAACACTCAAGGAATTCCTGCATTTCCATAAATAAATACATTTGACTATTGGCATTTACAAGCAAAATGAAATACAGTTACAATTAGAGATGAGTAAGAAATCCCTAATTGTAGCTTTATTTCAACCCACCCATCCCAGACTGAGCTTCTGATCTAAACGAATTTACAGGCCATCCAATGAGCAGAGGCTAGTTTATTTTAAGTGGCTTTCCCTAATTTTCTAGGTCTGTTGAATTTGGAACTTTAGAACCATTATTGTCATCGGCAACAAGAAATGAGGAGTGTTTTCTCTTTACTCTTCAGCTTCTACACTTCAAAGAGAAACAAAATTCAAGGAAAAATCATCACATTGAATCCTCAGCAGCAAAGATAGACTGAATCTCAATCTCTATTAGGACGCAGATAGAAGAATTTCAGAGCATTATATACAAAAGTCACCTCATCCCAAGGATAGTAGAGTATGGGCTACAATAATATGTAAAAAATGTACAGAAATTCTGTACATCAGAATTTTTATGTACACTGAGCAATATTGTATTCATTATTTTCATTTATATCTGACCAACCATGAATGGCTCAGTTGCTGTCTCAAGCAAGTGGTCAAGTTTATCTATTGCTTCAGATGAAACAGACTGGTTCATGAAAGCTTATGCTACAATAAATCTACTAGTTTTTAAAGTGCCACAAAACTCTTTGTTGTTTCAGCTGAGCATAACATCTGGTGTCTTTGGATGCCCATCCCCATTCACATCAAAAGCTATCCAGCAAATTTAACTGGGCTCAGGTGAGCAGATGGGAATGTACACCACAAATGTATATATAGGTAAAGGTAAAGGTTTCCCTTGCTCGAAAGCCAGTCGAATCCGACTCTAGGGATGCGGTGCTCATCTCCGTTTCCAAGCCAAAGAGCCAGCGCTGTCCAAAGACATTTCCATGGTCATGTGGCTGGCATGACTAGACACCGAGGCACACGGAACGCTGCTACCTTCCCACCGAAGCAGTACCTATTTATCTACTTGCAATTTCTTGCTTTCAAACTGCTAGGTTGGCAGGAGAAATGTATATATAGGGGTGCTTATATACAGGGATCTCTCAGGATGGATGCAAGATATCTTGCAAGTTCATGGGAAAAGTGTGGAGCATTTAATAACATTTTTAAAGTCAATGGAAGGTAAGAATACAGAGAAAATTGCCATTAAACAATCAAAGTTTTATATTACAATTACTAAGCCAAATTCTATATTAGCAGAATGTGAGAACATAATATATAACGATACCTGAATGCATACAAAGGGTAAAATGAGGATGGACTGCCATCCGTAGACTGGAGAGCTGAGTGATGCAAGAAGCTAAACTGTAGCATACTGTATATTATAGTGGAATTCCCACAAAACCTAATTGAATATCTGTATCTTAAATTGTATTAATGGGTAAGATATGGTAAGATCATTTATTTCTAATGGCGAGGTCAAATAGTCAACAATCCTGTTAAGCGAACTCAGACAACATTCAAGTTTGCAACGCTTTGTTAAACCTGCTTTAGCTCATGGCTTTTTTTGCTCCACACTTACAGCTCTACTGCTATAATATGAAATATTCAACATAATGATTACCATTTATTAAAATATATAGTTCTGAGCCTGCGCTTTAGTTCTACAGTGAGTGGATGTAAGAAGAACCAGAAGTCAAACCTTCTGCCCTAGACACCTTAGATATGATGAATGGCTGTGATTACTTAGTAGTGGAGGAACTACACTCACTAAATATTCAATGCTGTGCTAAGCCTTCTCATAGAATCCTTTTTTAGGACTAAAAGTCTGGCTCAAACAAGACAGGGTTTATGGAGGTCATCGCCAATCTTTATAAAACAAGGAATATAAAAGGTAAAAGGTAACCAATTATACAACTTAAATAAACCCTTGTTTATTTACACTGACTGCATGCTATTTTCTTTTTAAATGACCTACAACACTTTTAGAGTTTGACAAACATCAATAAAAAGTATATTTAAAAAATTCTGAGAATGCTGTAGTTGTCCACTAGAGCCAGACTGATGTACTTATCTTTACTGATACACAGCCCTTCCATTTGGTCTCAGATATTGCAAATGAGTAGAACCATCATTTCTTTCAGTTACAAAAATGTATAATACTTTTTGCCATGAAAATGGAAGGTAATGCCAAATAAAGAAATTAATCAGCAAAACACACAAACATGAACATCAGTGAGAATAAACACACTCTGATATTCCGCTAACAATGCCATTCTAAACACAGTCACACTGTTCTAAACCCACTGACATCTAAGATTATTAGAAAACTATCATTGTTTCTCTCATTGCTTTCTACACTTATATCTCACTATCCCTATCAAGAAGAAATGTACCACTGTTTCCTGCTCCTTAAGTATGGACGGAATGGGTTATACTAATCAGCATGTTACTTCTGAAGCACATCCACTGTTCAGTAATCTAATGCAACCTTTTTTTGCTGGTGTTATACTCATGAATTTCTGTATTGTCACAATCCTAACAATGCTCTGACAGTTTATGCAAGTATTACACACAAGTGACATGAGTACCGCTGCCCATGGAACCTGTTTGGGGCCTTTGGGGAAGGGCAAATGAAAACCTAAAATAGTAAAAATAATAAAGCCTACACTAAGTACTTCTATTAATCAGTACCAGAGGACAGAAATTCTCATACAAGATGGGCTTTCCAGCAGGAGGAACAAAAAACCTCAGCCCTAACAGGCACACAGAAAGATCTTAGCAGTAAAGCTTGTCTTGCTGGGGGAGGGGGTTGTGCGCTCAAGGGGCAGGGAAGATGAACAGACTCAAACTGCTCTCATTCTTCCTTAACTTGGCAGATAGGTAGGCAAAAGCATATTTACTGGTGTAACTTTTCAAAGAAACTTGTCTAGGTAGACGGGCACAGAAGGCTGAGAGAAACAGGTGAGATTTCAAATACCTTACTGAAAGAGAGACACCCCCCCCCCCAAAGTGGTCAGTGTTGTGACAGCCTTCCAAAGTAGACAACAGCACCCATAGGACAGATTCTAGTTTTGGCCACTTGTAGCCTGCAAGAGGCGGACAGCTCATTACAGTGAGCACAAAGGGGCCTGACGCCTGCACCTGGTTAATGAGATTCCCCTAGGCCGGCCCTGGGACAACACTTGAGGATGCAGCAGATGACAGCGCCTAGCTTTCGAAACAAAACCGGCAGCAAATCCTGCCTCCTGCTCACCAGGGTCCCTGCAACTCCCTTGAATTCAGCGGCCAGGCAAATACACCCTATGCATGTTCAGAACTGATTCCCCTTCATTAGTGCTCTGCCCACTGCGAAGCGACACCTCCGCGACAACAACAGGTGCTGGCGGCGGGGCCGAGCGCGCCTCAGCCCCGCCACCCTCGCGCCTCACCTTTGATGTAGACATCGTCGTCCGCCCGCATGAACCACTCGTAGGCGTCCAAGTAGTGGTCGTGCATGTACTTGAGCATCATGAAGGACTTCTTCTGCGGCGGGTAGGAGTCGTCGACTCCGGGCAAAGCGATGACCGGCAGCGGCTGCTCTTCTGGCAAAGCGGGCGGCGGGACGGAGCCCTGGCTGGAGAAGAACTCCACGCGGCCGGAGATGGAGCGCGCCCAGGTCCGCTGCGCCGCCAGCGCTCGGCTGCTGAGGTACTTCTGGGCAGTCATGACCCCCACGTAGAGGAAGTGGCGAGCCTTGGCGCAGCCCGGGCCGCCTGCATCGTCCCCGCTCCCGTTGGGGCTGCTGCTGCCGTGGCGGCCGGCGCCTTCTTCCCCCTCCTCTTCCTCCTGCGGGTCTCCTTCTCCGCCGCCGGCGGCAACAGCAGCGGCGATGGGCGGACTGGGCACAGGCTCGTCCTCGGCGGCGGGGGGCGGCGGCGGCGGCTCCCGTTCTCCCAGGCTGGCGCCCCCGAGCCCTTCCCCAGCCGCGGCTGCCGCCCTGGCCTCAGGCTGCAGCTGCCTCTTGCCCCCGGGCAGCCCAGCCGCCCGGCCGTAGTAAGAACAGAGGCTGCTGCCGCCGCCGACGCCGCCGCTCGAAAAGCCGCCGCGTCTCTTCCTCTCGCTCAGTTCGGCCACTTTGGGGGCAATCAGCCAGGAGGCAACGGTGAAGCCAAGCACCAGCCCCAACATCACGCTGAGCCAGGGGCGCCGGGACCGCGCTGCCATGGTGGCGGCGGCGGCGGCGGTGAATGGGCACGGGACGGGGCGGCGAGCGAGCAGGGTCTGCTGACCAGGAGACGCCCACCGAGCGGCGGGTTACCACCACCATCCCCCCCAGCCGCCGCCTCCCCTTCGTCACACTTCCAATCCCCGAGGCCGCCCTGGCCAGTCCGCGAGGCGTGGTCGTCGTGCGCCGCAGCCGCCACAGCTTCGGGCTGTTGCTCCGAGTGAAACTTCTCACCCGCGGCGGCGGCGGCGGCTCCTGGGCGAGGACTGGCCCGCGCACTCCCTCGCACGCTCAGCGTTTCCTGGCAGCACCTTGTCGGCGCCGCGCCGCTGGTCCCTCCCGGTCCCTCCCCCCGCACAGCCTCCTCCAAACAAGGGCGGCAGAAGGGAGAAGCGGCAGCCGCGGGAACCTGGGAGGCAGCCTCCGCTCGCCGCTCATCCCGCTCCCTCAGGGCCGCCGGTGGCCTCCGAGCGCCTCACTCAGGAGAGCGTGGCGGCAGCAGCAACCCCCTCCGGGACCGCGGCAGGAAGGCGGAGGGAGCCGAGGAGCGGCAGACTCCGCCTGAACAGCCTCTCCGGAAGGAAACTCTTTTTTTCCGCGGGCCGCCCTCTTCTGCCCCCACCAAGGCTTGCTTTCTTCGAGGTCGCTTTCCACGCACAACCCACGGCTCCCCTATTGGGCTTTCCTCGCCCTCTTTCTCCTCTTCACCCGCCCGTTTGTTTTGCCAGTAACTTCTGGCGGGGAAGAATTTTCTCCTCTGCTTTAGAACTACAGAGTGGGGAAGAACTAGGGTGGGAACAGAGCTAGAAATGTATGCAACCAGAGTCTCAGAACAATATTGCATTTACCCTTTAAAGATGTCCAGGAGCAAGGGAGGAGTTGGCACCCTGAGAACAAAAGAAAGAATTCTGATCTTTCTTATAACTGTACACTTGGGAAGGTAGAACAGCATAACTGAGGCACAATCAGTTATCCTTCAGGTATATTAACACTACTCATTTATATTAGGTAAGCAGTAGATGAAATTTTATTGTTTGTGGCCAAGGGCCAAAAACAACTGTCGGAGCTATAATAAATATAATAAGAAAGACAACAAAATTAAAAACAGTTTTAAAATTGTTGGATCCAGAACATAACATGGATTGCAGACTTTAAACATCAGGACAAACGTTTTGCACGAATCTTCTTGGCAGCCAATGCTTACAGTGACATCATAGAGGTGACATAATGATCCTCTTCAGATAAAAGATAAATTATTTTATCAGCCACTAGCCTAGCTCAAATGGCTGCATGAAACTTGGCCCTAGGAACTGAGTAATGATTACAAGACAGGACATAATGAGGAAGATCCTGCAATTCCAGGGCTCCACAGAGACCTACTCACTGGGCAACTGGTTTATGCTGATAATGGCCAGCTAGCATGGCAGTTGTATTGTTTGAAATCTGAGGGCTTTAAAGGCTTCTCTACATCTGTGGAAAGTAATGCTCTGGTGTGATCCCATTTGAGCAGTTTAAATCATGGAGAAAATATGGAGCTAATAATGGTACTCCTGTCTAAGGTGGCATCTATATCTGATCCTATGTCTTAAGCCCTTCCAGAGGGAAGCCCTGAGAGTCAACAGAGATTGGATAAAGGTGGGGAAACCTGTGATAACTGGCAACCCAAAAGGTGTCTTTCTGGAGCTGGATAAAGCACTGCCTGGAAAGATGACTAGAGGGAGAGTTCTTCAACTTTCCCCAATAATTAATTAAGGCAATGTGGCACTGTGACGTCCTTGCTTATTAGGGAGACCGTTTTACCTTTGAACACACTCTCTGTACATGAACTTGGTAGATTTCTGCTGCCACCAGGAATTAATTCCAAATCTCTTTTGGTAGAATGACCCAGGGTTTGGGCACAGAGGACTATGTGGCCCTGAGGAAGTACTATTCTGATTGCTGGGATAAGTTTAAACAAAAAAAATGATTTATTTAATAAAGAACAAAATAGGTTTCTGGTTATTTTGAACTGTTGCAGAAGAAAGGAACTTGTAAATATAACTGACAAAGCTTGGTGTCACAGTCTCTCAAACTCCAAACTCCACTCTGACAGGCTTAGACAGTCTAATCATATATAGAGAGAGAGAGAGAGAGAGAGAGAGAGAGAGAGAGAGAGAGAGAGAGAGAGAGAGACTACATTCTTTGTCTTATATACACAGACTATCCTCTGTCACCAAACTTCACACACAGAATCACCTCCCACACTCTCAGTCATCAGCCAATCACATCACACTTGTCTCCCTCTATCACTCTGCTTACATTACTGCAGTCACACTAAACATTTAAAGAAACACACACACCAAAAAATGGAATCATTACAGGCACAAAACCTAATGGCAAGCAAGCCAGTTTCAGCTAGCAGCAGGGCAGCTGGAGTGCCCTGTGGCAAGATCAAGATTCTCCTTAGAAAGGAGGTTTGTGTTATTTCCAGGCTTGATACTGTGTTGTCATTCCGACCTCAGATCTCAGCGCTGTGCAGGAGTTGGGCAATGACTTACGCTGGAACAATTTTAGGGCAGGATCTATCAGGAAGTCACCTTTTGAGTGATAAAACTTAGGAATGGCTCCAGTCAATCTTGCAGCTGAGGACTTCAGGAAGCGTCCAGGAAAGATTTTCAGAAATTTTACCCAAGGTATTTCAGTATTTTCATACATGCTGAATAATGCACTTTTAATCCACTTTCAATGCATTTTTGTGATTGTTTGCAAGTAGATTTTGCTATTTCACACAGTAAAATCCAGTTGCAAAGTGCATTGAAAGTGCATTATTCAGGGTGTGTGAAAATGTCTCCTGGAACACTGATCTATTGGAGTGTTGTCTATATGCCACCAGAACTTGTGAGACTTCTTTCTAAAAACCATCACCTTGGTCTTAAAGTGATTAATACATAAAGATTCTTCTTTGCAGAAGTTACTAAGCCTGTGCAGCATCCTCATGAGGCCAACTCATGTAAGAGACAGTAGAACCATGCCATCAGCATAAAGAAGCATAGATATTTCCCTATTGGCCAAGTGAAGGTGGGATAAACTCTAGGCCTGTCAGACTTTCCACTATATCATTTAGGTATAGATTGAAGAGCAGGGGAGCTAGAACGCACCCCTGTTTTACCCCTCTGATGACTGGAATCTCCTTGTTTAGTTATCCAAATCTCTTATTTTGGCTGTTAGTTTACTGTTGAGTTTGCATATCAAAACTAGTAGCCATCTATCGATGTTAGTAATGGCCAGCTTCAACCAAAGCCGCTTCCTAACTACTGAATTGAAAGCAGCTTTTAGGTCCATTAATGCTACAAACAAATGTTTGATAAGGCCCCTTGTGCATTCTATCATGAGAGTATAGGATAAAGCAATGATCAATTGTACTTTGCCCTTTTCTGAAGCCCACTTGCTTTGGGCATATAATTTGATTGGAGGCTTCCCAATCCTCCAGCTTACCCAAGAGATATTTACTGTACATTTTGGAGACTATATCCAGCAGGCTAATCTAGTGTGCTAACACCCTGGGTGGTGTGTATAAGTGCCATGAGAGGAGTCATACATGGTTCCATAGAGGCAATGTAGATGATGGGAGGATAGTATTCCAAGAAACCACAAAGCAGGCTTATTCAGGAGCTTGTCCTGGGATGACCTAGCCAAATAACATGCTTGTAAAGCAACCTAAATATTTATGCACTTCAAGGCATTGGAAAAACCGCCACCAGTCCTAGCGTTAAAATCACCACATAGGACAATGTGGGAGTTGGAAAACTGGGCGTCTAGAGCATCGAGGGTAGTGAACAGATTAGCCCAGATAGGATCTATGCTCCAAGGCTTAGAACTTTTAGGTAGAATGTATACTCACACAGAGAAGAGATATGATGTGTTTGCCTCTAATTTCCCGCACCTGAATATGATTCTGAGCACTATTGTTCAGGAATTCAATATCTACCTTGAGATCAACTGAGACAAAGATTACTAGACCTCCACTGGCATGACCTTTAGTGTGGGTTTTAACAGCAGGCACAGCAAATACTTGAATTCCTGTAGAAATGGGAGGCTATTCTCCTGGGACCAGGTTTCTGGCAGACACAAGTATGAACACTATGGGGTTTACTTGGGCCATCTCTGCACTGACTACTATTGAGTGAGAGATAGAGGGGATGGAGGCAAAAAGTGATGTCCTTCATATCCTGGTCCTCAATTGTCAGTGATGGATTTGTGCTCATTAGCTGGAAGAGCTTTGAAAGGGTTGATTAAGTCTGCCTCAGTAGAATCATTGAGTGAGATTTTACTAGGTGAAATATTCCCTGTCTTGATTTCCATTTTAGCAGGAGGTTCTTCCCAGCGGATCAGATCACTATCTGGGCTGCTTCTTGCCATTAGTCTCAGTGTTAGTTCTGGGGCATAATATCCCTGGGCTAAGGAGAGGAGAGTATGATACATTGCTGAATATTCTAGATGGAAATATTCCTTTAAAGTTCAGGAGATTTTTCTGTTGCATTATCAGAGATGGAATGTTTGAACAGAACCAAATGTTAACAACAATCTGATTGCTCTATGAGTGCAGTTAAGATTCTCAACTGACTTCAGATCAATGGGAAGGTTTTGAATATTCAACAAGGCTCTTAGGTGTTGAACCATGCCGAATTTAGAGTTCCAGAAGGGAACTCTACATCTGAATGGACCTGCAGCAGAAAGAACATAAGGGGTTGGATCCAACACAATTTTGCTACTGATGGAAGTGATTTTCATGAGTGAAGCAAAACTCTGCCTCCCCCTCCCACTGCAGCCCAAAATGACCTCCCAGTGCTGCTCCTGAGGAACAGGGAACCCTCCAGGGGTGAATTGGAGGTCTGCAGCAGGAGGGGGGAACTGGCTAAAATCCACACCTTTCTGTCAGTGGAAATTTTCTACTGGATCCAACAAAAGAGCCACAAGTATTTCGCTAGGGAATGTGCACAAACTGACAATCTGTTCTTTA